CTGCTTGGTGGGGCCAGGCAGCACTGGGCCATGGGGGAGGGGCTACCCCAGCAGGTGCAGCTTAGTGACAGGGATGTAAGGGCAGCTGGGCACCTGCTTCTCCTGTCAGTGATTACAGCACAGCATGCATAGCTGGTGGCTAGCCAGGCAGTGGCTTATCTGCCTCGGAAGCACCACAGGCCCAGAGCCTGACCCCTAGTTGCCACCCACCATGGAGGTTTTTTGAGGCCCCACGAGTCCCCACTGTCCCTCTGAGTGGGTCTAGATAAACCACTGACTGCCCAGCTGCTGGGCTGCACTTGCTGACAGGGAAAGCAGCTGCATGGCTGCAGTCACCTCCTTATCACTTAGCTGCACTCAACACGGGTGGAACTGCCCCCATGGCCCAGCCCAGCCCCACCAAGCAGCTGACTTAGCCAGGGCTGGGCCAGGCTGGGCAAGGCCATGAGGCCAGGGCCACCCCTGGCAGCTGTGGCTCCATTAAAGCTGCTCCCTGTGCCCCGGCTGGGGTGGGGAGCAGGGGGTGGGGGTAGGAGGAGGAGTGGGAGTATTTCCCCTTGATCCCTGCTCTGTAGAGGGAGAAGTGTCCCCCTCCAGGGCCGAGCAGCCTTCACAGAGCCTCCCCTCCCCTCCCCACCCCTTGACAGTGGGGGCAAGGGGAGAAGGAGGACAAGGGGCAAGAGTACCCTGAGCATGAAACAGAGTCCCCCTCCCCACCCTGTGGGGTGGTTGGAGGAAGAGTTCCTATCTGGGGATGGACAGCACTGCATGGAGCCCCCCACTTTGATGGGAGGGAAGCAGGGGAAGACAGGAGGGGGCTCCATTCAAGGTTGGCAAGCCCAACCCCAGCTCCAGAGGGGGACTCTTTCCCCTGCTTCTCTCCCCTCCCCATGGGGGAAGGGGAGCTCCGTGTGGCAGTGTCTGGCTAGGAAAGGAGGGGTGGCTGTAACAGCTGTGGCCAGTGAAGAGTGGTGGAAAAGTCCCCCTTCAAGGCTGGGCAGCCTCACATAGAGCCCTCCACTCCCAGCCTGGATGGAAGAGGAGAAGGGGAAAGATTCCCCCCAGTACAGAATAGAGGCCCCCTCCCTGCCCTGCAGGACAACCAATCCCAGCATGGTGCTGTTAAGCTGAAGGAGGCAGGTAGAAGGGTTATACCTCCCTCCATCCATTTTTGCCGTTTCTGCCCTGCAGCCAGCTGCAGTGAGAGAAGGGGGGAAGAAGGGAAAAATGAATCTCCACCCTGTCCACTTTGCTTAAAGGGACCATGCTTTGCCTTAACCATGGCTAGGGTGTCTTGCCATGTCCTGTCCCTGCTCTGGCTAGAAAGCAGAAAGGAGGGACCATCCCAGCTCTGGAGCAGAGCAGAGCCACACCCAGAGGGCATGCTGGGGGAGTCTGGTTTATCTTAAACCAGCAGCGGGTCTGGGACAGACATTGCATAAACCGGTTTGAGCCACATCAGTTAAGTCTGATACTACATTCAACCAGGTTTTTTTCAAACTGGTTTATGTGCACTGAATGTCTGTTCTCTTACAGGTTTAAACCCGTTTATGATCACTTAAACCCATTTATGTGTAATGTCTGTCCCTAGCCTAGAAGTTTCTTTGTTTATGAACAGGAGAATATCTACATCCTTTCAGACATGTCCCAAAAATACTCTCTCTCACTTATTTTCTCTCACTCACTATTTTCCCCTTAATAGCCAGGCATTATTCTTACACGTCTTTTCTATTAAAATATAAATTTGTCATTGCCTGGAGTGCCTGGTTTAAGGGCCTCAGCCACATCTGCAATGGCCCATTTGATGTGTAAAAAAACTCATGTCAGATGCTAATACTCTAGGATTATTTCTCCCAAGTGTGAATATGAGAAGAACACTTAAGTTAATCATTGCCCTTCTAGACAGTCTTGGCTAAAATAGAAGAAAAAATATAAAAATTACATTTATATCAAATACCACAATTCCTATAAATATAGAGACAAGAAGCCTGAACATATCTTGAGGCCACCTATACAGTAGACTACATATGCTGTAAGAGTAAAACAAACTTAAGGAAATATGCAGGACATCCCCAAAAGTCCTCAAAACATAGTGAGGTTTGTAATAATCAGTCCTTGGACATGGGAGGGGGGATGGTCTGATTTTTAACAGGTGGGGTATGAAATATGAAGTATGTGTGTCCTGCTGACTCTATGAGAAGTTTGGGGTCAAACTGACTTTCAAACAGATCTATAGGGCTTGACTGTTGATTCCAGAGTGCATCCCCCTTGATAAGGCCTGAATACTTGGTTGACAAATGAGTCTGAACAAAGAACATAAGCAAGGTGGCAACAGCAACCAAAAAGTAATTAACAAAAGTTTTCCTAATCTTAGTGCTGCCAATAGGAAATGCATAAAGAATAATTTCTGTGGTCATGAGTAGTAGCAAGAGACAGAGAAGGAGCTCCTTGCTCCTTTTTTATCTCCTTCTGCCACCACATCTCCATCATGTCCTCCTGATCTTTGCTGAAGCAGAGAACAATTTACAGAGGTTGCAAAGCTGAATTCACAGTTTGGAATCAGGACAGACTGAGATCTGGGATGCTGGTATATATGTCTCCAGTATTCAAACTAGAACACCAAGAAACCCAAGTAGCCACACACATGTA